AAAGGCTACAAAATTGGGATTGCGCATTTAAGCTGGATCGAAGGTAACACTGGAACCAGAGAGGGGGGACTGCCAACTTGGAACCGTAATAAATGTGGGGGAAAAAATGGTGTTCATTCCCCTTATTTTAATAAATAATGAGTACAAGGTTCAAGAAGGAACAAATATAATATAGAAAATTGTCTAATATCAAGGTTTTCTTGTTTTAATATGATCCTAAACAAGCAATCAGAAATTTGGAGAAGCAAGCAATACCAGTCGCATCACAAATTTTCAATGAATTTCTTCAAAAAACATTAAGTGTTGGAAACCAACCAAACTTGCCTCTCATCGAATATATTTGGAGACATGAAACACTGCATAATCAAAACTGAGAAACTTCTTCAACCGGAAACTAGGAACTAGATGTTCAGAAAGAACAATCACAAGGCAATTTGTCAATGATAAGCTTGATTTTTATTAAGTCAATAAGTGCAGGCTTAACACTATCATTGCCGGTCCCAAGCCCAAATGTGAAAAGTGGAATGTGAAAAGTGGAGGGTTGTGGAGGGTTGTGTTAGGTAGTCGATAGCCAGCGTAAAACTTGTCGAAAAAAAATCATGACATTAATCCTTTTGATCTTTGTGTAAGTGCTAGGGTGTCTCCTGGAAGTGACGCGTTGTATAGTCTGAACAGAGTGAAAAGTGTGCAAAGGTCGTCAAGTTCAGCTACACCGGCGCCCAGGTGTAATGTCAAATAAGCAAGGGTTTCCACATTACGGACGAATGTGGGTAAAGAAGTTAGTTCATAAAACTAATAAAACAAATATTAGGATAGGATCTTGGAATATAGGTACTCTTTATGATAGGATCTTGGAATATAGGTAATGGAATTAGTTGATATTGGGAATTAGTTGATATTGTGATTCATAGAAAGATTAATATCTTATGTATTCAAAAAACTAAATGGGTTGGAGAAAAGGATATGGAGATTGATAACTTAGGTTTTAAACATTGGTATTCTGGTAAGGTATTCTGGTAAGAGTCGCACTAGAGAGTCGCACTAGAAATAGTGTAGATGTAATTATAGATAAGAGTTTGAAAGATAATGTTGTAAAAATTAATAGAGTTGGAGATAGAATTATAGCCCTTAAGATTTACATTGATATTAAGATTTTTAATAATTTAAGTGCTTATGCTCCTCAAGTAGGTTTATATATAAAGTCTAAAGATAAATTCTTGAATAACTTAGAAGACTTAATACAAATGATACCTCTTGAAGAAAGCAATTTTATTGAAGGAGCTTTGAATGGACATCTCGGTAGAATGGTTGAAGATTTTAGAAATATTCATGGTGGCTATTGCTTTCGAGTGACTAATGAAGAAGGTAGAGCTATTTTAGATTTTGCTTTAGCGTATGATTTTGTTATTACTTATAAAAATGAATCTAATAAAACACAAATTGTTTATTTTCTTATGAAAAGAAGAGAACGTCGATATTTTAAAGATTGTAAGGTCATTCCAAATGAGGATTTAAGTACGCAACATCGTTTATTAGTTCTAAATTTTAAAATGAAGAGTTGTAAAATAAATAATACTAAAAGACAAATAAAATTATTTTTATGAGTAAAATTCAAGACTTCAAAATTTGGGATGTTCATGATGAAGCAAATGCTATGTGAGATAAAGTAACAAACACTATTATGCAAGTAGCAAAAGATGTACTTGGAGAATCAAAAGAAAATGTTTCTTTAAATAAAAATAATTGATGGTGGAATAATAATGTGCAAAAAAAGATAAAATATAAGAAGTTATGTTATAAAAATTGGTTTAAATGTTAAAACTTAGAGAAATGAAAAAATTATCAAATGGCCCGCAGAGAGCCTAAAAGAAAAATATGTAACGCTAAAAAATTTTGTTTTTAATGATCTTTATAATAGATTAGATGCTAAGGAGGGTGAAAAATATGTGTATAAACTAGCCAAACAAAGAGAAAAGAAAAGTAAAAAATTAACTCAAGTAAAGTGTATTAAAGATGAAAATCAAAAAGTGTTTTTCTTAAAAAAATATATTCAACATAGGTGGATGAGTTATTTTGATAATTTTTTTAATGAAGTTTCTGAAAATACGATCGAATTTAGTGATCTTAATATCGTTAATAATAATAAAACGTGTCATTTTTATCGTCACATTAATAAAAAAAATAGTTGATGAGGTTTTAAAGAAAACTAAGAGTGAAAAATCTGTAGGACCTAATGATATCTCAATTGAAGTATAAAAATGTTTAGGAGATTTTGGAGTTTCTTGGTTTACTAAACTCTTTAATATTATTTTAAAAACTAAAAAAATGTCTGAGTGAAGGAAGAGTATTTTGGTCTCATTTTTTAAGAATAAAGAGGATGCACAAGAGTGTGGAAATTATAGAGGAATTAAGTTGATGGGTCATACTTTAAAATTATGGAAGAGGGTAATTGCACATAGGTTAAGACGTATTATAAAAATTTCTCATAATCAATTTGGATTTATGTCGAGCAGGTCTACTATTGAAGCTATACATTTATTAAGAAGTTTGATGGAGAAGTTCAGAGACAATAAAAAAAATCTACATTTGATTTTTACTGATTTAGAAAAAGCTTACGATAAGGTTCTGAGAGATTTCCTTTGGAGAGTTCTTGAGAAGAAATGTGTTAATATGACTTATATTCAAGTCATTAAAAATATGTATACTAGAGTTGTTACTTGTGTTCGAAGTGAAGGAGGATTGACCAAATATTTTCCTATTTCTATTGGATTACATCAGGGATTGGTTTTAAGCCAATATCTTTTTGTTTTAGTTATGGATGATCTTACTAGACATCTACAGGAGAATCAACCTTGGTGTATGCTTTTTGCTGATGATATCCTTCTCGTGGATAAAACGAGAGAAAAAGCCCAGGACAAGGAGTCTAAAGGCCTTCATTTAAGTAGAACTAAAACTGAAAACATATTGGATTCTAAAGGCCTTCATTTGAGTAGAACTAAAACTGAATACATGGAATGTAATTTTAGTAGTAGTAGCTCTAGTGACAGAAGTGTAACTTTGGGTGATCAAATTATTAAAAGGTGTGAACGATTTAGATATCTCGAGTCTGTCGTTCAAAGCGATGATGATATAGATGGGGATGTTAATAGTAGAATTCAAGTTGGTTGGTTGAAGTGGAGAAATGCTTCGGGCCTTTTATTTGATCGAAAAGTACCGCTTAGACTGAAAGGAAAATTTTATAAGACGGTGGTGGACCTGCACTGCTTTATGGCGCTAAATGTTGGCCTTTAAAAGAGAAGCATAATACTAAGTTAAGTGTTGCCAAGATGAGAATTATTAGGTGGATGAGTGGCTTTACACTTTGAGACAAAATGCGAAATGAATATATCCATGACAGGGTTGGTGTAGCTCCTGTGACGGATAAAATTAGAGAAAGTCGTCTTAGATGGTTTGGTCACATTAAGCGTCGACCATCTGATGATCTGATTAGGAGAGTAGATGTTTTAGATTCGGCTATTGTTAAGAAGGCGTATGTAGACCTAGGAAAACTTAGGCTTATTGTAATAAAAATGATCTTAATTTATTAGAACTAAATGAAAATATGACCCGTTTGGGGCAGCTTCTAAGTGCAGGGTCGTTATTGAAAACGCCGCGGTACCGTTTGGTTTGTACGTTTTATCCGCTTATCCGAAAACGCGGTTCCATTTTTACACTAAACGCATGTCGAAAGTCAAACCCTGCGGTCGACCCGCCCCGCGGGCCGCGTTTCAGGATAAGTTGTTTATCCTGAAACGCACAAGCTACCCCAAACGCATGCAATGGAGAGAAAGGATTCATGTAGCCGACCCCACGTAGTGGGATTAAGGCTTTGTTGTTGTTGTTATTGTTGTAATAAGTGCGGGCTTAAAGGTTTACGACATGGTACAGAAATGGGGTAATGAAATTGCAGACAAAAAGTATAAAAGTTGAATAGACAACATATGTAAGAGCAATGATGAATAAAAATGAAGATGACCTTCTGTCAGATAGAACAATAAAACATCATATAAACCAAGAAATCAGCTAAAAGTAGGAGCCACTTTCATGTAGACAGAATAAAAGGAAAATTAAAGTGAATATTTTTATCAAACAAATACTGCAGAATTGTCCGTCAATAAAGTTCACGACTCGGACATCATAGCATAAGATACTAAAAACCATAAAATCAGAAGTTATCAATTACAGGCAACTCAAGCAACCTAAGTCACAGATTAAAAATCAATTTCTAAAAAAGTGAAATTTTGCATTTAGAATTGATGTAGAATCAATTTGAGACTCAACGTTACATAACTAAAAAATAATTAATAATTCAGCTAATTCTACCAAGACTTGAAATTAAAATTCATTCTGGTCGAAGTAGCTTGACTCAAAAATACTCAATTTAAAATCAGCACAATTATTCATTTAAATATGTTCACAAAATTATCATATAACATTTGTGAATACTATCATGCAAAATCTACACAAAAAATTAAGTCTACCTTCTGTCAGACAAATTATCTTGGAGTGGGCTCATGTAAGACATGAATTTGATTATACATCAATTTAGAGATGAACAAAGTTTTCGACTATTTTTTAGCAACTTCATTGTATTGAACTATCGCCCTAGTCATCCTCTCATTTCCATCTTAGTAATTATAAGCCATTTAATCAACACTGACTTCATGTCGCAAAGCATGGAAAGCTAAAAATCTTTACTTATAACAACGAAGTACCTTTAATAATATCACTAAAGCATACTGCATGAAATTGTTGGGGATATGGCAAGTAAAGAACCCATGTTGAGACAAGGCTCAAGTTGATAAAGAACATTCAACCTCAAAGGAATATTACTGATCAACAACATAAAATATATATGAGTGAAATGACTGAAATGAAAAGGAAATATGTGAAGAAAATTAAGAATATGATTTCATAGAGCTAAAGCAAAAGGTAAAATGGTAGAACATTAGCTAACATACATTGAATCTGAAAGTTTCTTTGAACATTTTCTCTTTGGTTTTGTGGAACCAACTTCACCAGGAGGGTCTTGATGAATTGAATTTTCCATGTATAGAGTCAAAACATCTTTATCATAACTTCCATTTCTAAGAGAATTTTCTTGAGGATACCCATCTACCAAAAGATTTTTACTGAAATCCAAGCCTTGCACCCCAGCATTTTCAGAATCTTGGAAGATATTTTGACCATCATTAGGCTTGCAAATATCCTTTTGTTTGGCCTCCTTCCTTTTTACCCTGGCAGGATAAAGCGCTATATTATCATCAACAGGACAATTTAAATAATCATCTATGCTGCCAATCAAAATTTCATAGTTAAAATTATATTGCATCTTTCATGAAATAACAATAAGATTCACATACACTATTACCTCAAACGATAAATAAGTTAGCTAACAAAAAGCATTGGTTAAATATAAATTATTGCCAGCATTGAGTTAAATATGATGCTCAGAACAAAACAAGAAAAAGTAGAAAAACGTGCAATTTGCAATCAAAAAAATTACTCATGTAAAACAAAAAAATAGCCACATTTTGACAAAAAAAAAACATAAAATTTAAAAAAAAACAATAAAGTTGAAGTATCAAGGATAGAAAAAACCGGCGAGCATAAATTGATACGCTAGAAAGGAACAATTGCAAATTAATTAATATAGCTAGAATGACTAACATAAAAGCGTCTACATCTAAGTTTGAAAAGCAATCTATAAATTAGCAAAAGCAGTTATAAAACCATATAAGTCCAATAATTGAGTCCACAGAGATCAAATTTTCAAAGGCAGCAAGAAATCGTATGAAACAATAAAAATAGTTGAGCTGTGCCAATCATAGGCTCATATCAGCTCATGTCCAAATTTCCATTATTTCTATCATATTAATTTTATTATTTTAAATTATCCAAAAGGATTATGCTAAATTTTTTTTTAAATAAGATTATATCTTAATTTAGAATGTTTGAATTAATTATTGTAGCCTTATTTTTTAAAATAGGAATCCATGGCTTGTAATTGATGATTCACAATTAATGAATGGAAATAATTATGAAAGTATAATGAAGTGCTTTCTTTCAGTAATAGTAAAACACTTTAAATGGTTTTAATCTTTTGAATTAAAGCTGGCATCTATTATTTTGGTAGAGTAAAAGTCACTTAAACACTCAGATTCTTGCACTCCAACGCAAATGTTTAATAGATGGCTTAGTGGTTTAAACAGTGAAGTGATATTGTTATATAATATGAAGCATTGAACTCAAGTTCCCTGCAACATTAACAGCTAATATGAACACATGGAATCCAGCTTTGTTTAATTGGTACTTAAAGTATTATGCTCATAAGCTCGGCAAAGTATGTAACCAAAAAGAATTCAAGTGACAAAAATTTATACAAGTCAATTTGGGTTTCTAATTGGATTCTGGTTGGCCTTAACCAAATCCACCTATTTTGGATTCGTATTCGATCCAAAGGCAACCCACTGACAAGCATATTTCCTGCATATATTTATTAAGTATGTGGCAATGTTTTATCAAAAAGTACAAACACAAAATATTTGGGGTCAGAATTTCAAGTCACCTATCATATTTTGAATTGCACTATAATAGCACATATTAAAATTCCATTATGATCATGGATTATAATAAAATTACCTGACTATATCCTTCTCTTTGATGATGGACGTCGATTCAAATGATGGTAAGACAAAATCATCCATCTGAAATTGGGAAAAAAAAAACAAAACAAGATAACTCAGTTATCAATTTTGAACAAAGCTTCATAAATGTGGTCGTTTACAAAATAGCCATCTCTGCAAAATGCGAAAAATGACCACAAAATACAATAAACCTTCAAATGAAATGCCATCAAGCAACATACATACCATATATATCTAACACCAAAACTTTAATATTTACTTATATAACAATAAATCTTTAACATCAAATTAAAAATGCCAATAATATTAACTTTTTTTAAAGTGAAATACAACTTTTCATGCATGTGGATTGATGTGATTACGCAACTAAAGTGTTATACCAAAAAAAAAAATCAATATTTGGATGTTAAATTTAAATACTCTTTCTCCAATAAATTAATTATAGTCCGCAGCATAAAGAAAAAGGCTTAAGCTCAGATTGCAACCTATGAACTAATAACATAATTATTATGCCATTCAACAGAAATTACAACAATATTTAGGCAGATTTATTGCATTTCTTTCTTAAGAACTTGACATTAACACAAATATATACAGCAAAACGTGAGATCGTGGAAAATTATAATGCTTTCATGATGATTTTCCAGGACAAAATATCTGCCAAATTCGGTCGAAAGTCCATTGCATGTATTTTTCATTCTCATCTTCACCTAGTAGGAAAATGGACCTTCCACCCTAACATGCAACAAAATAAATAAATAAAACCCTCCACAACTCAAAATCTAATGGTTACACTAACTTTCTAATGCAGACAATCTCATTATTTTCACCAGCCACAAATCAACCCGCAAGAACTTTAAAATGTTTTCTATTCACTCTACCTTGAGAAAATCATGCAGGAACTTCCATTAAGCCAACTATGCACTCTATATCTTCCCACAAACAACTATCAAACATCAAAACTATCGAAATTACAAAACATGAAAAAAAAAAAAAAAAATCAGTCAGCTACTTACAGAGTGGATGAGAGACAACGAACAAAATCGCAAGCTTAAAAAGAAAATAAAACAAAACTGTCTGGGACGTATGCATCCCGAGCCAAAATTTTTCCCAAAATTAGCTTACCATGTCTTCTTTTCAAATCAAACTGGACAGACACATGCAGGAACCTACATTAAAATTATTAAAATTGCAAACATTAAACACCAATCTATAAAAATTGCAAGCCTGCGACAGAAGCAAAGCCCCTTCCATCGAAAAACTGCGCCCAAAAATCCGCTTAAAATGTTATCTTCAACCAATTTTTTCCCCAAAAAAAGCTTACAATGTAACTTGAGAAGTTGTGTCACTTTCACATCTACAACGGAAAAATAAAAAACATCATCTCTGGTAGTATCTTGATGAGCAAATCATAGCGCATTACTGTTTTCCCTAAAATCAATATAGACAACAGAAATGAGGTGGATACTTACAGAAAGAACAATGCGATGACGGAGACCAAAGCACTCGCGTATTTGGGACGCCAGGTCACCAATGACTGTGATGTCGGGTTTAAGAAGAAACCAGCAGCGGCGAAGTCCCAGTGAGCGCTGTGACTTATCGAGGAGATGAGGATCGTCGAATATCAAGCGAAAGCGAACCATATTGCCGTCATTTTTCTCCTCCCTCGCCATCGGAGAATCTCGCGTCGTCATGATCGGAGAGTATTGATAGGGTGTTTTGGGGTTTTAGGGATTTTAGAAACCAGGCTTTTGTTCACTCAATCGCTCGTCACATGCTCACTCGATAACTTTCGCTCAGATTATTATTAGATCATATTTGCTCAAATTAAAATAAATAAACTTAAATACTTTAAATAAGTTCAAAATCTAAATGAACTTAACTTTGACAAACATAGTAACAAAAAGAAATATTTACATATTGTAGGATTAGGAGAGAAAAATTAATAACTCCTCTTCAATTTTATAGGGCAAAATTAGAAAAATAAATAAACGAGAGTGACTCACACATTAGAAGAGTTATAAAATCAATCATAACTTCTGGTACTAGAAAACCAAAATAAAAATTATAGCATACTAATTGATACAGCACCAATAAATTTTCATCTTCTTGCATGAATCCCGAAGCATGACACGGATCCCGAGACGATATTTTGTCAAAAAATGTTCAAATCTTGATAAAAAGTCATCTAAAGCTCTTATTTAAGCAAACATTGGGCAAAATTAGAAAAATAAATAAACGAGAGTGACTCACACATTAGAATAGTTATAAAATCAATCATAACTTCTGGTACTAGAAAACCAAAATAAAAATTATAGCATACTAATTTATAGAGCACCAATAAATTTTCATCTTCTTGCATGAATCTCGAAGCATTATAAGGATCCCGATAAGATATTTTGTCAAAAAATGTTCAAATCTTGATAAAAAGTCATCTAAAGCTCTGATTTAAGCAAACTTATAGTCAAACTAACCGGCTCGATGAGACGGGCCTAATGATATAAAAACTTGTATAATCTGAGCCAAATCAAGCTCATATCAAGTCATTAAACAACTTTTAAGGATTTCTGAACATATTTGGAAATTCAAATGGCTGTCAAATATGGCAAGTTTATACTCAAATTGAGCGGCTCGACGAGATGAATCCTGCGAGCCTGAGATCACTTAATTTTGACAACATTAAGGCACTCAAATGTCCATTAAACGTCGTATGATCGATAGAAGTTCTTCGAACCGTCCGATCAAAATGACTCATATTCATGTATTAATAGCACTCAGAACACTATAAATAGAGTCACATCCCTCTCATAAAGGGGAAGGAAGTATAAAGAGAGCCTAAGGTGTTGAAGAGAAGCTGCAGCTCCGCACCACCACCGACCGTCGTCGACCACAGCCGACCTCCGTCGTCGATCGCCCACGATCACCACCGACCTCAGTCGACCACCGCCTACCATCGTCGACTACTGCTGACCGTCGTCGACCGCCACTGATGTCATCAACCTCCACCTACCGTCATCAATCACCACCAGCCAGACGTCGTCAGTCGACATTGTAATCTGAGAAATATAGTTACCATTTCCCCTCCGTGGAACAAGGGATTTTTGTAATCATCAATCGATAGTGAATTTCTGCAACTGGGTCAGGTCTCGTGGTTTTTCCCTAACGGGTTTTCCACGTAAAAACTTATGGAGTTATCACCGTTTTTTTCTATTTCATATGTGTGTGTGTTGAACTTTTATACAACACCAAGACGATAATTTTTTACTCTACCGCCGCGAATTTTCTAGCACGCATCAGTTTGGCGCCGCCTGTGGGAAGCTCTCAATCCCACCACTGAAGTACTCGCTCAATTTTCTACATGGCCACCAAGGAAAATATTTGGGACAACGGAGTAGCTCACTTTAACACCCAATGATCCAGGGAACGGTCACGAAGTCAAGGACGACATGTTTCTTCATCTTCTCGCCCTGAAAGACATTATCCAACTAACTAGGGGGGTTTTAGGTCCTTCTATGAGAGAACAAATGCGTAGAATGGAGGAGTCTCAACTAGAGATGATACAATTCCTACGAGGGACCTAACAACCACTGTCCACACCGATGAACGAAACTCATTTGCCATTAAATCCATGACCTACGAGAAACATATCGCCCGAAGGTACTCGTACCGGCCCCACTGCTCAAGAAGGAACAGTTCCCTTGCCAGGATGTGATGCTGAACTTCTAGACACCGCAAGTTCCACTCATCCATCTCATGCAGCTCCATCTCATGCAGCTCCCATGCAGCTCCCATGGCACCACCACATCTTGCTACCGTTCCAGATGATGTCATACGTAACGAACTATGTTGCCTTGTTCGAGAAGAGTTCCCCTAGAGAAAAAAGATTGTTTCCGTACTCATCATAACATACTTGAATCCACTTCTTTAGCAAATGCAATCCTCCAACACCTTATTCCTACAAGCTTGAATTTGTCGAACATTGACGCATATGAAAGGATAACTGACCCCTATGAACATATTGATCATTATCGAACCATCACGCACATTCAACGTGTCTTTAACGCGCTTCAATGTTAGGTGTTCCCAGCCACTCTTAAGGGACAGGCTCGAACCTGGTTCTACTCTCTGCCTGGGGGTACTGTAAACACCTTCAACGAGCTTGTCAAACTATTTGTGGAGCAGTTTATAGCAAATCGAAGAATCATCAAGGATTCATCCCACCTCTTAGGAATTCATCAAAGTGAAGGAGAGTCGCTTAAAGACTACTTCCGCAGGTTTTCTGCTGAAACTCGTCAAATTCCAAGAGTAGATCCAGAGTTACTTAGGGGTGTTTTCCTTGGGGGGCTCCGCCCAAGACCCTTCTACTCATCACTGATGCGGAAGACAATTCGTTCTTATGTTGATCATGTCCATTGTGTTGAGGCCCAAATCACTGCAAACGAGGCTATCAGTGCACACAAGAAACAATTTGAGAAATTTAGGGGAAAGCGCAAAGGTAAATCTAGAGACAATAATCAATCTTCGCAACGAAGAAAGTTTGAACAACCGAAGAACTGTGACCTCCTCCTTCAACCCGTAGGTCAATGAACTGAATATCGACCCGTGAAAAAGTATACACCACTCAACACGTCACATGCAAACATCTTGATGACCATCATCTTGCAAACATCTTGATGACCATCAAGGATGAGCAAGCTGTTAAGTGGTCTCACCCCTTAAAACCTAACAAGGGAAATCAAGAAAAATATTGTCATTTTCATCGAAGTCGTTACCATACCACTGAGGCATGTAAACTCCTTAGGGAAAAAATAGAAAGGTTGATTCAACAAGGATATCTTGGTCGATTTATTTAAAACAAACTAGTTGGTAACGATAATGCTCATGTTGGGGGCCAACAATCACAAAGGCAACAACAAGGGGGTCACTCAGTCGTAGGTGAAATTCAGACAATTACAGGAGGTCCATTGCTAACAAGTCAAGTTCTCATCGTTGCACCTGGTGAACCAGCACATAATAAATTGCGCTTTGAACCTATCACTTTTAATGATTATGATCTAGAAGGAGTCCAAGTAGCTCACCATATTCTCTTGTCATTAGCGCAAGAATTGGCGAACCCTGCTATAATGTAAAAAGGATACTGATCTATAATGGGAGCTCTGTTGATGTTCTGTTCTACTCCACTTTCCTTAATTTGAGACTTACAAGAGAAAGACTTCAACCTGCAACTGGGTCATTACATGGTTTTGATAATCGATCAGTACGGGTCGAGGGAACAATAAATATCCCTTTTGTCATAGGAGATTTTCCTCGACAGATAACTAGTTCAGTCAAGTTCATTGTTGTCAAGTCAGAATCAGCATACAATGTCATCTTCGGGAGACCTCTGCAATCCATCTTTGGCATTGTAACATTTGTGTTACAGCTGAAGCTCAAATTTCCAACCCCAGCAGAGATCGGCGTCGTGCTAGAAGATCAACAAATAGCACAATCATGCTACCTCAAACAGGCTCAGCCACACCCATCAGTGACACTTAACATTGAAAAATTTGATCTCTGACATGAAGATGTTTCTCAAAGAGCTTCCCCCGTAGAAGATTTGGTTCATGACCCGGTCTCTAATGAACACCCATCGAGAACAGTGCAATAACAGTACTGCTTGGTTCCTTACTCTCTGATGAACAAAGGTCAGAATATGTAGATATCCTCCAAAGGAACCAAGATATTTTTGCATGGACCCCGGCTGACATGCCTGGGGTTGACCCTGAAATAATTATGCATTCTTTCAAGATTGATCCAACTTTTAAACCTGTCGTTCAGAAGGAGCGCAATTTTGCCCCACATGGCTTACAAGTTATTGAACAAAAAGTAAACAAGCTTCTTAAAGCAAAGTTCGTACAAGAAATATATCATGCTGCATGGTTGGCTAATGTCGTCATGGTGAAAAAAACTAGTGGTTCATGGAGAATATGTGTTGACTATAAAAACCTCAATAATGATGTCCGAAAGATAGCTTTCCCCTCCCACGCATAGATCAACTTGTTTATGCAACTTCCAGACATTAGATGCTCAGACTTATGGATGCATACTCGGATTCATGAGGGAGCCATCTCTTTTCAAACGGATAAAGGTTTATACTGTTATCATATTATGTCGTTTAGATTAAAAAATGACGGTGCACCTTATCGAATGCTGAGGTATGATCAAAACTAAATTATTTAACTATTAGCAAAACTGAAATGCAGAGTTTAAATAGTAACTACTAAACTATTAAACTATGTTTATGTGATGAAGATTTATTATATGAAAGATATATCCTACTACAATGTGTTTTTGGTTAAATGAGAGAGATAGATGGTTTGAATTTGTACTGTGCCAAATATGAGCAATTTTAATTCTCTACCCTTAGTGAAGTGTTATAGAGAATCGTTGGCTAATCTCAGATTTAGTCTCTAAATTCATGGTTAGGCTAGGAGAATATTGGCTCCCACTCCAGAGCTCCCACTTCTCTTCATCTGAAGGCTAACTCTCGCTTTAGTTTAAACACTAAGACCGAATTGAGCATTTTAGTCTGTTACCCTAAAAATTCTCCAATTCTACACCCAACAAAGTATATTTCCCTATTTATTTGCACTTAATTTCATGAATGAAATTCTCGAATGAAATTCTCCTTCTGAAATTCTCCTTCATGGAATCAAATATGATCATCACTCTGTTGTAGAACTCATACTCAATTTCCCGGATCATATGTTTCACAACACATTTTAACAATTTGATTGGTCATATCGAAAAGTAAATTAAGTTTGGAGT